CAAAGGATGGTCACTGACTCATATAATGTAAGCCTCAGTATCAACTCCAGACATGACCATTCTATTCTGTTCTTCCTTTATAACAAACAAATAAGAATAATAACTTCAAACCCCAAGTTGAAATGATTCACCAACCCTAGAAGTCTTTCTTACGAAAAATCTCTTGATATGTAAATCAAATAAACAACAGATTGTCAACATTTATGCAAAAATCACTTTTAAACTTTGCTTTGCAATTATTTCCAACATAATTCTTCTACTTGAATTTATACAATAAGGTATCCTTAGTATTATACATTGATTTATTTAGGCCAGTTTCCTTGGCTTTGTTGTCTTCATCATGTTTTTCCCCCACTGTCCCCTCCTTTTTGTCTGGATTTCTGAATTGAGGTAATGTTACTTTCATACATTCATACATTGATTCTTTTGGACTAATTTCCTCATCTTTAAATGGTGTACCCTCCAGACTTTCACAGGTGTCTGCCATATTTGGCATCCTTTCAGGAATGTTGAATGGAGTAAGGCATTAGATTTAAGAAAAGGAAAGGAAAACATGGTCTAAGGGTCCTATTTGGCATAGCCAGGTGAGGAAATTAAAGTGCTGGTTTGCTGGAAGACATATGTTCAGTCTCAGTGTCAGAAATTCAACTGAAAAGAAGGCCAGAGGGTACAGTAGATAAAGCTTATGGATAAAGATGTGGAAACTGGTCCAAAAAGAATCAATGTATAATAGTAACAACACTTTATCTGAGAAAGTGAAACAGAAAGATCAGAGGATAATGTCTAAAGATGAGAAACTTGCTTGAGATCAACAAATTATGTCATTTTTAATTGTTAGAAGCATCTATAAATGATCTGGTTATCTATTTGCTTTATTCTTCTGGAATATACATAGTACTGAAATTTCCTACTAGACCGTCAAATGAAACCAAGTACAGTGTTAACCTGAGGTTACTCCTGTTCACTGAATGCAGACGTACATGAACTCACATATGCATCTGGTATTGCAAGCACGAGACCTGGAATGTTGAATATATATATATAAAAACAACTGTCCCAGAGATCTTTTCGGGCAGTCTCTCATGCATCACAGATAGATTGTAAAGTCCACATATCAGACCAGTGCTGTGGGGGAGAGTGTTTTACACTGACATTGGCTGAGAGTAACTCATCCAATATTGGAGTGAATAAAATGAAGATTCAATCCTCATGTAATTGGTACCTGCTCTTCATTGCATATGGTTTATATACATACTCAAATATGAGTATTAACTGAAAATCACGTTTAAAGTGATAAGACACACACACACACACACACACACATAAATGAAGACAGATTCCATATATATAAGAGAGGATAAAAGATATTGAAAAGCTCTTGGTTTAACCAAGAAGAGAATCCAAAATTGTGATGTTTGGTCATTTAGCCAGATTTTAGGAAGTGGTTTGTGTTAAGAACTTTTGGTACTCCTTTGTGGATGGGTGTGTATAAAAAAATGACTACTGAGAAGAGGATCTTTTTCTTCTTTTTTTCATTCTTTCCAACTTCTCTCTCTCTTTACACTGTTTACATTGTTCAGACTGTTGTCTTCATCTTTGTTGTCATATTCATGACATTTTGACCATTGTACGCTCTGGCCTTCTTCAGGTAATATACATTGGAATTTCAAACCGAATCCTTTATTTAGCCCACTAGGGTAGATTGTTCTAGTTCCACATGCCATGCCTTTTCTGGCTATCTCAGTTTCAGTTATGTCCCCAGAAGCACATGGCTCAGTGGATAAAAGCGTTGGTTGAAGTAACCCAGTGACTTGACCTAAAAAGTTGTGAGCTCAATACCTGGCCACAGTAGAGATGAACAAAACCTTGGAGAGTTGATTTACTAGAGGGAAATAACTAATAAGCTAGCTCCTATGGAAGGCTCTTGATTGAGCCTTCAACACAATAGGTAGGGAGTAGTAGATGTGATAGGCAACAATAAACTACAGAAGAACTCAAAATTGATCGCGGCATTTAAATATTGCATTAATATTTAAGCTTACCTTTTAAAAGTTAAAAAATAATTTTTTTCCTGCTACTTAATTTAAAGATAATTGGATGTACATAGCTCCTTATATCCCATACAAACAATTATTTTTATTTCATGTGTGATCTTTGCTAGATTTTGCAATTAATTTTCATTATTCCCAAGTTATAAAAATTGTTATCGTACAAAAAAATTTGTAGCAAAAAATCATCTAAAAAAATTGCTGAAAACAATCACAGTAATTTCAGGATTGTGGGTCTAGATCTAGCAGGGAATTTTTTTAATTTGTTCAGAGAGTTGGCCCGATTCCAAAATAGTATATGTTAGGCTATGGCCTCTAGAAGTAAAGTTGAAAAAGTGTGACACAATGACATTCACATCATTTATTTTATATATATATATGTATATATATATATATATATATATAAAACAAGCTTTTGTTGTCACACCAAGATAAGAAATTTTTTAAAACTAAAAAAAAGTATACAAAAGTATCACAACGAATAAAATTGAAACCTGAGGCACCTTTTGGACGGCTCATCTTCAGAAATATATTGTTGGCATTAAGACAAAATTGCTAAAAAATATTTTTTTTTCCCAACAACTGAGTTTAAAATAACAAAATAACACCAAAAACATGCTGAAGGCAGGGTAAAAAATTTTTTTTCCCTAGTTTAGCATTTTATGCACACACACACACCCATTATATATATAATGGGTGTATATAAAATGTGTGTGTGTGTGTGTATATATATATATATATATATATATATATATATATGACATAAGAAATTTATATACACACCCACTGTTCATGTATGTCTGCATTCACTTGTAATTGGACTGTGGTCACTCAACCTGACAATGGACATCATAAATAGTAAATCTATTCTTAAGTATTGTGTATTGACTCTAGATTTGTCTAAATTGCTTGTTCACTGGTCAGTATAGGCCTGGCCAGTCAGCATGGAAGATGGACAATATATAGGGAAATCCAAACAAAAAAGAATCCATTTAATAATATCTGAGGACAGTTTGGTCTGCTCTCTCTCTCGACTTGGTACATTTCAGTAGATAAAATTCAGTGAATTTGCCAGGTGAACTGACCTGTTATTGGCTGTGGAATAATAATAATTTGCATAATCTTCTCATGGAAGACTGAAATAGCGAAAACGACGATGCCGTACAACTTACATATCCTTTGTCTGTCTGGAAATGGTTATTCTAGGTTACCCTGACATGACCCAGCTCAGAAACAAATATTATTACATCAAATATCAAAGTGAGTGAGTGTGTATTACAAGAGAGAAATCTAAATTGTGCATGTGTTGATACTCTTTGTATGTCTATTTCCTTCGTCTGTTCACCAGCTTAGGGGTAGAGAGAGAGAGTTGTATATTTTCCTCTAGTAGTCAATCATTGGTATATATACAAGATTCACAGCCAAATCAGGGAATTGTGGTTTCATGTTAAAAAAATCAGAATTTTCTAATGCAGTCTGACATGCATCAAATGACATGTTTATTACGTATTTTTTGAAGATTGAAAATTGTTAAGGAATGGCTAAGAGTAACCTGATTTATACTCCTTCCCATTTTTTTAAAACAGGAGTAAAGGTTTATCCCTTGTTCCTTGTTTAGGATTGTGTTTCTGGTTTCTTCTAAAGTTTACTCATTCACTTTCACTCTCAGTAGCGCCTTGCATCTTAGTGAATTATCACCTTGCTTGGGATGAATTGATTAAAAAAAATATTATTTATGTGGTATAGTTCTGTTTTTTAGCATTTAGAAAATTTGAATAAAAAATGTCTGTTTGTCTATTCATCTTTTTAGCTTTTCTATGGCAAAGCTATGTACCTACTACTGTGTCTGTCTGTCTGTCTGTTATGCAATCAGGGATTTGTTTTTTGGGGGGGGTTGTAGGGGGATCAAGGAATTTTATTCAATCATCAGGCTGGGAACCTTAATACAGTTCCAAGAAAATAGCCATACTTTCCAAAGGCTGATTTTTCACTGTGAGTTAGGCTTTCCTTTTGAGAGGATTATCCCCCTAACAGTCAGTACATCTATCTACTTGCAATGTTTATAATAGAGAGATGTGTGTGTGTATAGATAAGTATGCACACACACACACACACACACACACACATATCTATATACATATATGTATATACATATTAATACAAATTTGATGCACATACATTTATTCTACAGAAGTTTTGTATACATATTGTGTGTGTATAGAAGAGTTTAGCCTGGTTTGGCAAAAGGTCGAATTATTGGATTATCCACCACCCATTAGTTATTTGGTGAAATTGTATTTTTCATTATTCTACATCAAGTACCTATGTATAAAAGTGAGATGTGAGAAGTGACGTGAGATTATATCCATTAATGAAAAATCATTTACATTATTTTTTCAATTTGATTTTATCCATTAATGTTTGTATTTGAGCACACTGAATTAAACAATGGTTTCCCCTACAAAGGGGGATACATGTTTGATCATTACTGAGATTTCTTGAATGAGCAGACATAATAAACACCATTGCATAAATAAAAATGGGGTGTCTTTTTCAAACACTGAGTATCCATTATAATAAGGTTAGAAATAATAAAAATGATGGATTAAAAATAAATCTGTTAATTCTTTAGAAATTTCTTTGTTTGCATTTTGAGCAAAGGTGCATATTTGAGGAAATAATCTGCGTATAGAGGATGTACTTTCCCTAAAAACAAAAAACAAAATCTTGCTTGGTGTGACAATCTTCATGAATGAGTGTTCAAGCTCACTGGACATATACACACACACACACACACATGGTATACTCTGAAAGTAATACCACTTTTTAAAAGATTTTTGTGCAAAAGTGAACATAACCTCAGCTAGAATTTGAACTTGGCATAATCTATTTTATGTGTGTATTTTGTATTTGTATGTCTGAGTGCGCACACACACACACACGTGTGTATAT